ATTTGCATTTCAGATGAAAACTTTGTCCTACGCCATGATGAACGTGGTCTCCTGTCAATGGCAAATGCTGGACCTAACACCAATGGGTCACAGTTCTTCATAACCTTCAAACATAATTCTCGTCTTGACAGGTTTGTTCATATGAGTACTATTTGAACACAAGTCTTTAGGCTTTACAAAAAGAAACTAGCAACTTAGGATTAAATGAATTATACTCTGTGAATGAAGTATTTGTGTCTGAAAACTTGGAAACTTTTTGTAGCTAATCAGTCTTGTGCAACATTTATGACAACATAGTATTTTTATCTTGAGATGTCACATACATTTTTACACTAAGCAGTGTGGCTGGAATTATTGTAGATTAGTCTATTTGAATTTTGGATGTTCAATTTTATTTTAATGTTAAAGACTAGGCCACTGGATTAACATGACTGAGTTGAGGTGTAATGTTTGATATTGTATTGTAACATAGCAAGTTAACAATGGCAAAATGGCCACTGATTTCTAACTTAGTACTAATCGAGTGAGTTTTGGTAATATCTTACTATCTGCAGAAAGAGCACTGTTTTTGGTAAGCTTATTCTTGGAAATGATGTGCTGAAGAGAATCGAATATGTTGATGTGCATGGTGCTGGTTCCACACCTGTTGTTCCAGTAAGAATAGTGGACTGTGGAGAGCTCGTTGATGGTAAATGTCTTGGATCCATCACGGTTGAAAACGGTAATGCTTGTTCTTTTGGTATCAAATTTTCAATTTTCAAATACACCTAACCTCTATCTAAGCATTTGAGAATTGTTACTCTTGTAAAGACAGGAGTGTACTTATATTATTTTATGATATTCATACTGCAGATAAAAAGAGATCTGTGAAATCAAAGTTATCCAAGGATGAATCTTCTGATGAGGAAAATAATGAAGGAAAACGCAAGAGACACCACAAGAAATCTTCGAGGAGGAGAAGGAAGAAGAAGAGATATTCTTCTTCAGAATCGGAGAGCTCATCTGAGTCGGAGTCTGAGTTGTCTGACTCTGATAGTGAGTCTGATACTTGCTCCAGTGACTCATCTGATCTCAGCAGCTCAAGTGATGATAGACGAAGGCGCAGAAAGAGACACTCCAAGAAGGATAAACACAAGCGTGGAAAAAGAAAGCGTGATCGTAGGCGTGAGAGAAAGCGCAGAAAGCGTGACAGGAAGTCAAAGCAAAAGTCAAAAAGGTCTGTTTGCATAAACAAATTGAATATTTTGTCATTCCCTGACACTTGACGTGTTTTTTTAAATAAGCAGAATGTTAGAGAGTGATAGTGAAACCGGAAATGTGAGTGACAGCAGCTTGGAGGATGATAAAAGTAAGCGGCACCATCGTGGACGGAAGTCTAAGGCCTCATCCCAAGTTTCAGGTAATTTTCTTTGGTGACTGCCGCATCTGTTAAAAGCTATAGCTGCTCATATTTATGTTTCTTAATTATTTAATTGGAAGTAAATTGAATTGGAGTCCTTATTCCCAAACCTGTACTTTCCTAGGCCAATGAACCTTTTAATATTATTGAGATTCCCATAAACTTGCACTACTACATTATGCCATATTTTATTATAACAAAAAAATATGCCCTTTGCGCCTATTAAGCTCCACAATCATCAGTTATGGATTATGGAAGCCAATGTTGAACCTTCTGTGAATCGTTCACAGAGGACCATGCATGCCAACATAAGTACTTCTCTGTTATATTTAGATAAACATATGAATCTTGTCGTGACCAGAATATTTCAAATGAGAGTAGTGGAAGATCCACATGTCAGTAACTATGTGGGATTAGTATTTGTTTGTTGGTTGGCACTTACGGAGTTCTACAACTAACCAGCCTATACAATTTTATTGCCAGGTGAAAATCACACAGCATTAGCTGCTTTGAAGGATGCCGCTTCAACTCAACAAAAGAGTGCAACGCCAAGGAGTCTAGCTCAAGAAGACAAATCTCCAAAGGAGAATGGAGATACCCGTACAAATGGTGTTACTGAATCAAAAACTGAAAGGAATGCCGATATTGCTCTAACCAGCAATCGAAGCAAATCTAGGTTTCCTATATTTCTTCACACATCAATCATTCTTTGTGCTTACTGCGTCCACGAGCAGTGTTTCATCTGACATTGATAAGCAGGAGCCAGAGCATGAGTGCTAACCACTCAATGAGCAAGAGTATGAGTATCAGTCCAAGGAGAAGCCCAGTCAAAAGGTCAGCCATCAGCCCGAAGATATCATTGATAAGCAGGAGTCCTGATGTCCAAGGCCATGGTAGAAGTCCTGTCCGTGCTCCTGAAAGAAGTGAAAGCAGGAGCCCACCTCGAGAGAAGAGCATCAGCATGAGCCCTCAGAGAAGAAGTGCGAGAAGAAGTAAAAGCAGGAGCCCACTCCGAGAGAAGAGCGTCAGTATGAGCCCTCGTAGAAGCATGAGCAAGAGTCTCCCTAGAAGTGTAAGCAGAAGCCCTGTTGCTCGCAGGAGCAGGAGTCCTGTTAAAGCTCGAACTAGAAGCATCAGCAGGAGCTCAGCTAGGTCTTTGCAGCGCAGGAGTCGAAGTAGGAGTCTGGAAAGATCTCCTGTACGTAAAAGTGTCAGCCGAAGCCCTCCAACTATGGACAAGGGAAGAAGCATTAGCCGAACCTCTGGAAGATTACCATTGCGAAGGAGTATTAGCCGGAGCCCAGATAGGCCTTATAGGAGGATTCCAAGCAGAAGTCCTCGAAAGAACACTCGAAGAAGCATCAGCAGAAGCCCAGTTAGACTATCTAAAAGGAGTATCAGCCCTGTAAGAGGTGGTCGGTCTCGCAGGAGTGTCAGCAGAAGTGCCAGCCCACCTCGCAGGGCAATATCACCTGCACAAAATCATGGTAGGAGCCCATCCAGGAGTCCCTCTCCTGATGGGTCAAAGCGGGTAAGAAGGGGGCGGGGTTTTACTCATCGTTACTCATTTGCAAGACAATACCGCTCACCTTCTCCTGATCATTCATTCCGTTATGGTGGAAGAGGTGATCGTGACAGGTAACTGACTAAACTTTTGGATTCTAATTTTTTTTTTTCATTTCTAGAAGTTCAAACTTAAATGTATTTTTTGTAGACACATGAGTTATCGAGGCTCCCGTCAGCGATCGCCTCCTAGACGGTATAGAAGCAGCCCACTTAGAGGACGAGCATCACCAAGGTACATTAACGGCAGTATCATCTGATTGCAACAATTTTGTGCTTTCTCCTCATCACCTAGCCATGTCTTTTTTTACATGTTATTGTTGTTAATGTAATGTTCATCCTTGAGCCAATGCTGTAGCCTGTAGGTATGCACTGCCCTAGTCTAGTTTATGGTTCAATTCCATGATTCTGTTTTGTTTGTCCCTTGAGGCCTAACAGGTACAGGAGGAGGAGCCGAAGCATCTCACGAAGTCCTGTTTATCGAGACAGAGGAAGGGGAGGTGGACGCAGCAGGAGTCCTGTGCGCAGCCGCTCTCCTGCTGGTGGGAAACTAAGGTCGCATGGTGATCGCTCGCGTTCAATGTCAAGGAGCAGGAGCCTGTCTGGGTCAAGATCAAGGTCTCCACCACCAATACACAATCGCTCCCCACTTGCTTCCCTGTCCCCAAAGCGAGAGAGTAATGCAAAGTCCCGGTCACCCTCTGCCAGTTCTGAAGGGAAGAAAGGTTTGGTTTCGTATGGAGATGGTTCCCCTGATTCTGCTGGGAAGTAGGAATCCATGAATGCATGTACAAGCTTTGGCCGTTGCTCAACCCATCTGCATTGCAGTATTGGGAAGCTTTGGCCGTTGCTCAACCCATCTGCATTGCAGTATTGGGTTTGAAATGCTACGGTTAGAGAAGCTATTTTGAGGTGCTGCAGAAGCTGTTTTTGTCATCTTAGAGATGTTATATATTTATGGATGGTTGTGAGTTGGTTGAATCTTGTCTAGACGATCATAAGCCGAGGTTAGCTAATGGTTTCTTAAACTTGCAACACAGTTTTTCTGGCTGTAATTCTTGTGCGCCGTGGCAGTTAATGAGTTAAAACCTATCGAGGTACTTTTGTTGGACTTGGTGGAGATCTGAGTTCCCCGTGACCTTTTCCAATCTGGTGAAACCATTGCTGTGTTCACGAACAATGATCGTTAGCGGTCAACACTGGTTCCATAGCTCATTGCTGTGCTATTAGTTTCTCTGCTGCTACCTGAGTATCAGGGGTAGAAGTTTGCCGCTTTGTTGTTCGCCAGTCGTCACTCGTTAAGTTTTATTGGCTTTTAAATACTCCTACGCACACAATGCAACATCTGATGTTAAATTTAATACTAGTGTCTTATTGAAGGGCATTTGTGTCCCCTTAATGAAGGGCTGATGACGATGCTTGACTTGGTATTATTCTTTTTTGTGGTGACGGCATGACGCTCTCGGATGTTGTCATCAAGTTATTAGCTTTGTACTTGTTTCGTTCTAAAATAGCTTTGTACTTTCGTTGAAAAATACTACACCTTCGTTTCATAATATATGACACTATTGATTTTTCGTTTTTAATATATAACACTACTGATTATTAATGTTTGATCATTTGTTTTTTCTTTTATGTTTCATTATTTGTCTTATTAAAAAAATAAGTAAATTTCTTTTCTTTTATTATGGCATGATTTATCACTAAAGAAACTTTAAGCAATATTTACATTTTTTTATAAAACAAATTATCAAATGTTATAAGAAAAATCAATGACATCATATATTAAAAAGAAAAGGAACGAGTAGTAGTCTAGAGTCAACTAGGTTAGATATATTATACTACTCTGTCTACAAAATGATAATCCTAGGCACAAACTTGAATATGCATATATTCAGTTTCATAGGTAGGATTTATTTATTTTTTTGGGTCAGAGATGGTATGTACGGATATGTGGTTCTTATATTTTACTAAGTGAGTAGAGTTTTTTAGGAGTACTTTAAATTCTGAACATGTGCCATAGAAAATGCCACCACAACCAAGTGCCACACGGGATCCACAAGTCGAGAGAAAGGAACCGAGACGTGGCCACTCTCGGCGCCAACCGCTACGGCCACCCCTTCCCATTCAAATCTCCACCATCCGATCCCATATCAACGGCTGGTGTTCCATCCACTCCACCACCATCAGTTCCCAACTCCCCCCAATTCGGAAACCAAAATTAACCAACCAACCCAACCCCGCCGCCGCCGATGGACGCCGCCGCGACGGCCGCGACGGCGACGGCCGCCGCTGCGATGGTGTGGTTCAGGAAGGGGCTTCGCGTGCACGACAACCCGGCGCTGGACGCGGCCCGGCGCGGCGGCGCCGCTGCGCGGCTGTACCCGGTGTTCGTTCTCGACCCGCGGTACCTCCGCCCCGACCAGGCCGCGCCGTCCCCGGGCTCCGCGCGCGCCGGGGTCGCCCGCGTCCGCTTCCTCCTCGAGAGCCTCTCCGACCTCGACGCGCGCCTCCGCCGCCTCGGCTCCCGCCTCCTCCTCCTCCGCGCCCGCGACGACGGCGACGTCGCCGGCACCGTCTGCGCCGCCCTCAAGGACGTAAGCGACTACTCACCAATCAATCACTACCTCGTTCTTGTCGCAAATTAATCCCTCGTGGATTTTGCTCGCCAAGTGGAGAAATATTCGGGAAATTAACTTGTTGTTTGAGCTCTTGCAATCGCAGTGGAACATTGGGAAGCTGTGCTTCGAGTCCGACACCGAGCCGTACGCTCTGGCCCGCGACAAGAAGGTCATGGTTAGTGATCAGTCCACACTTCTCAGCATTGGATTTCTCATGAAACCAGAAATATTTCAATCTGTTTTGATCGTGCAAGGATTTCGCGGCTGCGTCAGGGATCGATGTGTTCTCGCCGGTGAGCCACACCCTATTTGATCCAGCAGAAATCATAGAGAAGGTAACCCACAAGATTCAGTACTGTGCAGACATGATCATTTGTTGATCGAAAATCTGGAGTTTCTGTGCTTAGTTTTTATTTTCTTTTGGGAAATGGAAGAATGGGGGTCGGCCGCCGATGACATACCAGTCGTTCGTGGCCATCGCCGGCGAGCCACCGGAGCCAATTATGGAGGAGTACTCCGAGCTGCCACCGGTTGGAGATACCGGGGAGTATGAATTGTTGCCAGTGCCTAGAGTGGAGGAGCTTGGGTATGGGGATATCAGCCAGGTGAGAACAGTAGCACACTTGCTATTTGTTTGAATTTTGATCATGTTGGAGATTTTCTTAATTGGATGGCCAATCAAACATATAGGAGGATCTTTCGCTGTTCCGAGGCGGCGAGACAGAAGCCCTGAAGAGGATGAGAGAATCGCTTCATGATAAGGTGATTCTGAAATAAGCGTTTTATTCATCTGCAATTTGTTCATTACCTCTGAATTTTGATCAATTTGGAAATGGAAATGGAAACATATAAGAGGAGAATGGTTACTCTTGCTATGAATGGTTACACTCTGATAACATAGAAATTTTCTTTTACAGGAGTGGGTCGCCAAATTTGAGAAACCTAAGGGTGACCCGTCTGCATTCCTGAAACCTGCAACGACTGTCCTGTCACCATATCTGAAAGTGAGTCTTACTGCCCCTCATAAGACAATTTTTCTTGGCATCTTTCGTCAGTGCATGTTTAGATTGCAGTGCTGAAATGAATTGTTATTGTTGCAGTTTGGTTGCCTGTCGTCAAGGTATTTTTACCACTGCATTCAGGATATTTACAGGAGTACAAAAAAACATACAAATCCACCTGTTTCATTGACTGGCCAGGTGAATTTATTTATTTATTTATAAGAGTAACTAACTACATTGATTCGCTCTGAAAAGAAAGAGAATCTAACATCTGAATGTTTGACTTCTGTTCTTGCTGTTGCAGTTGCTGTGGAGGGACTTTTTCTACACAGTGGCCTTTGGCACTCCTAATTTTGATCAAATGAAAGGAAACAAAATATGCAAACAGGTCTGTTTCATTTCATCCTATTACCTCCTTTGCTACAACTTCCTTTGTTCATCATGCAAATACCTTGTGGTTCCAGATTCCATGGACAGAGAACGAAGAGCTATTTCCTGCGTGGAGGGACGGTCGGACAGGATATCCTTGGATTGATGCCATCATGATTCAGGTTTGCCCTCACAAATCCATAGCAAGTCTGCCAAATAATGTTCCTTGCTTCCGTCTTTGCTCCACTTTCTGTTACTTCCACTTGCATCACCTGTAACTACCAAATCATGTGAAGTTCCTGCTTATTTTGTTAACTGCCAGCTGAGGAAGTGGGGTTGGATGCATCATCTTGCACGCCACTCTGTTGCTTGTTTTCTAACACGGGGTGATCTGGTATGTATGATGATCTGTATAATATCTTACTCTGATATTGATTGCTTGAACATTTTGTGGCATGTTAACCTTTTAGTTTTTAAAGATCCCTACTCATTCTGATGGTAAAACTACATCTTGACTTCGTGTAAAAAATGTCATTTGTGCTAATAGAGCCGTCCGTAATAACACATCTAAGATATTTATTGGGTAAGATCAAAGCAACGTAGAAATTGTAGATGCTAACGCCTACACAACTTGTCAACCTCTCTTTCACATGAAGTTTATCCACTGGGAGAAAGGTCGTGATGTCTTTGAAAGGCTACTGATAGATTCTGACTGGGCTATTAACAATGGCAACTGGATGTGGCTCTCCTGTTCATCCTTCTTTTACCAGGTCAGCAATGAAATGGTCTTTTCAATCACTAATGATCTACATATTTATTCACTCTACTAGTTTCTTACTTTCTTTACCTTCCTGCAATTTTTTTTAAACAGTATCACAGAATTTATTCCCCAACCTCTTTCGGAAAGAAGTATGATCCTAACGGAAACTACATCAGGCATTTCATCCCGGTGCTGAAAGGTACTTGAGCACACCATTTCGGCACTGGAAAAAAAAGATCTTTTCATATATTCAGAACTAATCTCAATTTTGCATTAGACATGCCCAAGGAGTACATCTATGAACCTTGGACTGCACCCCTCAGCATTCAGAAGAAAGCAAACTGCATAATTGGCAAAGACTACCCAAAACCAGGTAAAAGAAACTAATTTTTTTTTCGCCGGGAAGACACTAATATTTTCAGGTGCTCAAAAGGCATAACTAGTACAATGGCTGTGTATTTATTTATTTAACTTCATTCTGATCGTTCCAGTGGTTGATCATGCGATTGCAAGCAAAGAATGCAAGAAGATGATGGGAGAAGCTTATGCGTCTAACCGCCTCGATGACGATAAGCCTGACAAAGGGAAATCCTCCAATTCTTCGCGAAGAAAGCTGTCTGCTGGCAGCCAAGTGACCCCTAACTCATCCAAGACTAAACAACTGAAAAGAAGCAGCTGAGCTGAATAATTGTGCAGCATGAAAATTGCTTCAGCTTCACACTAACCGCTTCATTTCCAGCATGAGAGAATTTCAGTTGTGAGTCGACAGCGACAGACAGCCTGCATTCTCAGTTGTAGCTAGTGTGGTGACTACTGAACTAGTCTGAATTAACAGCAAAAAAGACTAAATAAACTGTAGTAACATTTAACCATGTAATTACCATCAGTTGTAACAAGTAGTGAACATATATCTCTTTCTAGTTTACATGAACAAGAGAGGTTATCTTTCATAAGTACAAATCCTGCCAAACTCGAACTCTATCTTGTCACATACTTAACTCTGATTGATGGACATGAAATTAATGAATGGATGGTTTGGTTGCTTTGTACGAAACCAGAAGCTAGACCTGACCAAACACGTGAAGCCAATACATAAAACGGGCATGATGAACAAGCCAGCTCTAATCTGACAGTGCAAGGTGACGACACGGATAAACCCATCTTTACACATCAAAGAGAGAAAGAGATAAAGAACACTAATCCAGGATTAGCACCAAAGTTCGTTTTCGAGGATAAGATGACATCAGACAGAGACCAGAAAGGTTTAAAAGAATTACAGTTCATTTTTCATGGTGGGTTAAAAATGGCAGTGAATTAGTTTAGTACAGACACTGCATGATAGAACTATTTATCTGCATATTTATATTTATTTAATTCCCTTTCTTTGTGTCCCAACAAACTCTGACCTGATTTAAACATGGGATGGAATTGAAAGGGATGAATGCCCAACTCATGCCATCGACCATGCTTGTGACATGCAACAACTGTGAAGGATCTCATTATTGTTAATCAATGAACACATCTTCCTTTTAATTTTTGTCCAGGAAGATGAACACAGCTTTCATGCAGTTATTATGTTGGATTAGAATCACTTCTTTTGTTTTCTCCCCCCAGGTTATCTTTCCCTGCACCACAAGAAAAGGAAAACCATGAAACCAGCTGATCCAAAACCATGGGACAAATGGAAAACAACAATGCGTGACCAATAAGCCTGCCTTGCACTTGTTGTTTTCCTTTGTACAGTGGCCCTGATTACAATATAAATCAATGAGTCACTTTTTGTTTAGGGAGATTTATTTTATTGAGAAAAAGCCAAAGTTGTTTTAATCTCTCTGTCCCCAAATATAAGAGATTTTGAATAGATAGAGCACATCATGGTACTAAATCTAGACAAGGAGCTTGGATATATCCTATCCATTCAAAATTCCTTATATTTTAAGATGGAGAGAGTATAGAAGGGATGCTAAGAAACTTCAACTTAAAGTTTGAATTGTACTTGTTTGAGAATACGAAGGTTTGCCTTAGCCCTTAAAACCGAGATTGCTATTGGGCGATCAGTCGCGCGCCTCCCTCCCCGCGCAACTGGACACGTGTCGCGCGCGGAGAGGGGGCGGCGACACGCCGCGAGGGAGCGAGTTTTTCGTTTTTTTTGTTTTTTCCCTTTTTTTCGTTTCTGTTCGGTTTTTTTTCTCCGGGTTTTTCTTTTCTGTTTGGTTTTTTTCTCCGGTTTGTTTTTTTTTCCCGGTTTATCTTCTTTCGGTTTTTCCCCTTTTTTTTTTAAGATGTATAAATACAAAGTTTGTATTCATATATATACCAAGTTTGTATTCATATGTATAGAACTTTCTATACGCGCATACAAACTCTCTATGCACGTATACAAACTTTCTATACGCGCATACAAACTTTCTATAGGTGTATACAAACTTTCTATACATGTATACAAACTTTCTATAGGCGTATACAAACTTTCTATATATACATACAAAATATATATACGCGTATACAAACTTTCTATACGTGATGTATTTTCTATTTTTTTATTTTTAGTGCGTATACAAACTTTGTGTATGTGTGTATATATTTTTTATGCATTGAAATATATTCATAAATATATATATACGTATGTATATACTATATATATATATACACGTGTATATATATAGTATATATATACGTATATACATAAGATGTAAATAGTACCTATGAGATAATAGAGGGGGGTGACTGACCGCGCGCCTCCGCGCGCGCGCGGCTGATCGCGTATCAGCACCCCGCCTTAAAACTCACTATCTTGGCATCCACGCAATTATGAGTTTATAAAAAAATCTATAAACCCTTAGTTTTTGGTGTGTCAAAAGGGTTATTGAGTAGTTTTTTTTTTAAAAAAAGAGTACTGTGTGTTCATCTTGTCAGATGTACTCTTTCAGAAAACTTTAATGGTGATGGTGAATGATGAATCTATCACGATTCACCACTAATGTCATGTGGGATTCAAATCAGTAAGTAGGTGCAGATATACATACATATTTAGTAGTAGCAACCTTGGCATATATATGTAAAAAAAATAATGCCTTTATTGTTAGCAACCTTGGCATATATATGTAAAAAAAATAATGCCTTTATTGTTTATTACAATGGGAATATTTATTATAATTTTGGGTTTTAGAGTGCACGGTGGGGTTGTTTGTTTTGAGCAAATGTTAGAACATGAGATGAGAAAAGCCCCTTAGCATAAATATTTCAGATGTAAAAGTATATCTCCCACAAGAATCCTATGAAATTCTTGTGTTCCAAGTGGTGTCAAGGTGGATTGTAATTTGACAAATGGATTTATTTGCTTCTTTTTTGGGACCATCATACATAATGTGATAATAGGAAATGCTCAAATCTTGTCGGATTTAAAATTCAAAAAAAAGGAAAAAAAGCATATTAAACGCTTAAAAATAATTTCAATATATTTTATGAAAAAAAACCATATAAATTTTGAACAGTGCAGTAGGAGAGCCACACCATACAGTCACACCATCTGTGCCAAGAACCGACACAACCCAAGAGAGAGGAAGATACCGCCCCCAAACCAAGAACCCCGCCCATCCACGCCGTCCGATCCAAATCGGACGGCCAGGATCGCACGCCGAGGTGGTGGACCGGATGCGGTTCGGATCCAACGGCTGGGATGCGACTGAAAGCGCCACCACGCAACGCAACCCTCTCTTCGATTACACGTATATAAATCCAAAGGGATTCCCCTCCCCCAAAAAAAAAAAATAATTACTAAAAAAGAAACTAATTCCCTGCTCTTTTATTTCTTCTTCCACTTCTCGATTTTCTCTCCTCGTCAAATCCGCGCCTCGTAGAGGGAGGCAAGAATCGAGGGGTCCGGTGTTTTTTCTGCGGGATCGTGGGGGAATTTTTCCTCGGATTTTTCCGTGCTCGTTTCCGCCGCGGGCGGCGTCGCAGAGGTTCGTTGCTGTTCTAGTTTTTTTTTTCTAGTTTTTTTTTTTACGTAAATCTTTTGGTTGTTTTTTTGGGGGGGAGGCGTTTTGCTTGGTGTATCCGCGCGGGGATGGAGGCGGGGGCGAGAGGGTGGGGAAGAGCATTGGTTGATTGATTGGGTGTTGGTTTTTAGGTGCGGTGATTTCCTGCTCGTCGGTTCAAGTTTTTTTTTTTTAAAAAAAATTAGATCGTTTTGCTGCGCGGATTTGGTAGGATCTTTGTCAATGTCATGTTTTTTTCCCGAGGATTGCTGATGGTAAAAGTATGAACTGGTTGGCAAATTCGCTTGTGGTATCGAGTCACCCTTTGATGGAATAACCTGTTGGTTTGTTGATTTGTTCACCTGTTGGCTGATACGTTGGTTAATTATCTTTTCTCCCTCCTGATAACGCTGGGGAATTGTTTCTTCCCGATACGATTATTACTTGGTGTAGATGTTCGAAGCGATTGCTGATGTAGATTATTTTCGTTTAGAGTATTACCAACGATCTATAAATTTTGCTATATTTTGGGAAGCATGTAGTATGATTTTACAGATTTGACGTATGACTTGCACTTGTTAGAGAATTTTATACTATCTGGCACCTATACTCCTTCCATCCCTTGCAATTAGACAGCATTTTGCATGGAAGTTCTAGCTGATGTGTTCATCTTCGGATTAGGAATTTGGTACACCTGATTCCATTTAATTAGCACTTTGAAATTGTCATAGTTTAGCCTAAAGGTTGCTTACAGCTAAATTATATACACTAAATTGATACACTTTCGGGATGCAGTAGCCGAGTACCATTCTGTAGTGAATTTAATGGAGTGGGAATATATATCATCCGTGCTTTCTTCTGAATGCGCTAGTCTTGTTGCGGCGTCGTGCCATTTTGTTCTATATCTATATCCTGTTTAATATGTTCTACAGGTCTAAATCTTTGTCATGTCTTACTGACAATCTGAATAATTCAGTTACTAAAATTTCTTCTGATCTTGTTCACAGCAGTGTTTGAGAAATAATACGAGTCAATGAAATTCCGCAAAGGGACAAAGGTGGAGGTGTTGCAGAAGGGGGGTGCGCCATTGGGTTCCTGGAGGCCTGCTGAGATTGTTTCTGGCAATGGACACACCTATCTTGTAAGCTATGGCTCATGTCCAACTCAGGGTAGTGTGGCTGCGGAAAGGGTGCCAAGGAAGGCAATGAGACCTTTGCGCCCACCCTTGGATGGTATTGTATGCTGGGTCAAAGGTGAGATTGCAGAAGTCTTTGACAGCTACACATGGAAGGTTGCGGAAGTGGTGAGATTGCTTGGTTTTAGTTACTATCTCGTCAGGCTCCTTGGATCCTCCCTGGAGTTGAAAGTACATGCATCCAATCTTAGGATAAGGCAGCTGTGGGAAGATGGCAAATGGGTTGCTATTCCAAAGGTAAAGTTCACCCCTTCAAATTATCAAATAACAGTTATTTGTATACAAACTATAACCTATGCTAATTGATTTTTCCAATGCCTTTTATGGAAATTAAATTAAGTGAAACAGTTGATATCACCTCGTTTTGTTGTTCCTTAAATGGTCCAGCTCTATTATGGAGCTTAACCGCTTAAAAACATTTCTCTAGTGTTCTATTTGTGATCAGATAAACATTATAGCACTATGCACCAATTTGCATTTGCTAATAAATCTTGGTAATTACTTTCAGGATTCTGCAAGATTCCCTGGTGATTCACCTAGAAGCCAGTTGAGATGTGGAAAAGTTGGCCATGAGTTGGTGCATACTTCAAGGGACAACCGTCTTCTACTGAAGAAAAAGAAAGTATATGAGGGCAATACTTCTCAGGGCTTGAAGAGAAAATCATCTGCACTATCAGCTTTCCCCATGCAGTACAGTGAAGTAAGTAAGAGATTTCAGACATCACATAGAGATGGAAGGTGCCTGCCTGTTGTTCCTGGAGGTTCTCTTCATTTGATGGATAAGGTAGATGCTGTTGATTCCCAATGCTTAGAGCTGGGCGAAAAATACATGCATGATTCCTTAAGTAAAAGAGCAAATGGCTTTCATAAAACAAATTTGGCAGCAGTAAAAGCTAATTTTGATTATCTGGATCCTGCTGTAACAACTCAAGATAGTGATACTGATAGTGTCGTTTCCTCTGTTGGTAGTTGCAATCCCTGCGGTAGCCCCTATGGATCAACACATCCTCAAGAGTATGATTGTGCAGATATTTGTAGTAGGACTGATGATGCTGAAGTTTCTGTATCTGGAAGAGAATCGTTTAGTAGGACTGATGATGCTGAAGCTTCTGTATCAGGAAGAGAATCACCTGCTCCTGTTAATGATGGTCTGAAAGAGAAAACCCATTTGCTTGAGTTACATGCTTATCGTGCAACACTGATGGCATTATATGCGTCTGGGTCAATTAGCTGGGAGCAAGAGGCTATGATGACTAATCTGAGGCTTACATTGAACATCTCAACTGATGAACATTTATCTGAGTTAAGGAGTTTGGTTTCCTCTGAAGTTCATTCTAGATAGTCATATGAAACAGTAGGTGTCTGTCTTGGTGGTTATGTAGGCATATCACTTATTTTACAATTGCAGAGTCATGGCCAGTGTTGAAACCACATCCAGTTGGAGTACTTGATGTTCTGTATTAACCATGGAAACAGGTTGTATGATAGATTTACCATAACTTCTCAAATGCTACCTTTGCCCCAATTAACTCAAGGCTTTCTTCTTTAATGGAACTGTCTATTTAACTTCATAGTATCTTGTAATTGTTTTATGCTGCTGGTGTTAGAACTTTTATTTAATGATGATGGCATATATTACACCACTTGATAAGTTTCTATGATTCCCTTTTGTGTTTTACAGTTAAACTGATTATAATTCAATAATATGATATCCAATGAAATTTGTTCTTGAGGTTGTCAACTTCAGCTATCAACTATTATGTTTGCATTGTGTTACTTTAGCGATCCTATTTGACCATGTTGAGTTGTCCATCCTTTGGAATTCTTGTGCCAAAAGGTACATATACTGCTGCACTGTTGGTAGAATACCCTTTAAAACACTACATTATGTGTAACTTATTATCTGAACAACATCCTCCCCTCTTATCCTATCATTATCCTGATACTGATAGATGACTACTAGCTGGTAACAGCATTTTATTCACTGCATTAGAAGCCACACATCCTTTTAATTTCTTTTGGATGATTTGTTTTCCCTTGACAATGGTGCTTGTGCTGCACTAGAACAACAAAGGAAAATATGACATCTAATGTTTCTCATGCATTTTCCAGGGCCGAAGTTGGAGGCTTGTAAAGCATCCTTCGGTAGGTCCATGTTGATGGAGGATTTTGTCACATGGTCTACATGGTGATCAATGTGGCAACATTTCCATCAAACTTTGGTTGGTATATACAATTTTCCATTTATATTATTTCCACTTTTTTCTGCTCCACTAGATTTTGCACGAAAATGAAAAATGAAATTCGTTTTTATATTAATCAACAAATAAATCTGAGTGCTAAAGTTCCACATGCATTGTTGCAACAAGAATGTTAGTATCATGGTAGAGAAAAAAACTACGACCAGAGAATCTCTATCTATTTTGCTCAGAATATGTTGAAATTTCTTATAGTGCTGTGTCTTATCTTTTCCTGTTTTCTTTATCTCTGGAACAAGAATACCAAAAGGAGTAGTTAGATATACTATCAGTGAAAATTTCTTTAAAAATGAGTAAATTTCAGATCACTTCATGTATATGGTCCTAGTTGCAGAGAAAACTTGTTTGCTTGGCAAGTTGCAAAACCCTAGGTTATGAAGTTTTTGGATACCTTATGACCATAAAATCTGCACTCTAGTGAAAATAACCAAGAAAACTGGGTTCTGTACGACTATGACTGTAGAGCATTTTTTTCCGTTGAAACTACCAAGTTTGAACCTGTAAAATGGTCCAGAACAATGTGCATATAGCTTAAGTCGTAGTTTTGTTTATGTTTCTTGCAATCAGCAGGATGAGGAGTACACCATAAATGTAAAATTTAATGTATGTTTGAGTGCAAAATTATTAGTTATAGATACTTAGTTATATAATTATTTAAATTGAAACTTGATAAATATATCATGGTCACAAACTACACCAGTAATAAAGTACGTATGTGTGTTTTATTTTGTGGAGTACTCTGTACTCTGTAGAGATTTGTCCTAGTCATGTTACAATCTTAACATTTCTTTTAAGATTAGTCTCCGAAGTTCATATCTGTCAAAGTCTTGTAGTTAATGTTGTCTTTACGATAGTAAGATTAATTGGCCATATTCCAGAAATTCAGGGAGAGCTTCCATAATGATATACTACTACTATTTTGGCGATACTGAGTGGTGAGCTGTATGGCTGTACCTTCAACATACTTTGATGAGGTAGTGAATCAGGTAAGTAGGCATATTGTTCATTGTCAGGTGTCAGTAGACAGTACTTATACAATATACTCGTATTTGCTAATTGTTTTCCGTGACGTAAACTGTATATCATAAGTACTTCCTGCTACGCGATTTGACTCTGACAAGTGTTAGCACATATGTGGTAATGCAGAAGTTATGTACAGTTTCTTATTAACAGACAACAGTTATGAAGGAGACATGATTCCATATCTGGCCTTGTTGCTGCTGCTGATGGTTTGGTCATTTATGTGCATGTCCTTTTACATGATTGTTCTTGGTGTATATATAATTAATCTGGTTCATTGTTCTGTTTCTTCTTTTGTCTTAAAGAAATTTTATATCATGTCCTGTATAGTGATAACATTCAGTTTTCTTCCTGTGCATATCGTGGCGCTTTAGATCACTGGTATTCTCTGAGAATATCACAATAATGATTCTACATATGAAATGAATATTGGACCATTCAATACACCTAGCCTATGTGTCAACTGGAACATTTTTTTTCTATCTTTACAAATGCAAGAACATGTAATGGGATGGATTTTTTTTTTGTCACATATAAAGTAGTCACATACAAAGGTTGGCAAATAACAAGCTACCAAAGCAGCAACGTGGGAAAATATAACTGAGGAGATGCAGCAACGTGTGTAAAATATAATGGAGGAGAGGAGGATCACTGTGGTGCACAAAAGCTTTTTTTTTTTGTTGTTGTTGTGAAAACTAATTACAACTTTTTATAGCATGTATGTATGTACACAATAAGAGGGTGAAATGTAAAGCATTAACTGAACAGCTGATGTATACATGACTTGTTTCTGAAGCAGTATGGAATATAATCCTCTTTTTCAGCCAGCCTTTTTACTTGCAACTATAAGCCAGAAATGCTTGGGAGTCTGAATCGAGACATTATTTTCAATCAAGACGTAGTCTTAATGTTACTAAACTATTGAAGAGTTTTTTTTTAAAAAAAAAATGGTGACACAAGTGTGGATGAAGTGAACCCGAGCAAATTTTGACTTGTCTATATTTGATACTTAAACCACTCCTGCAATTTTAATAACTCATGATATTTATTTCTATCTACAAAACATACAAAGTTTTGGGAATTCTACAGAAACAAAAATGTATCACTTGCCCTGGGGTAATAACCAAAGTTACTAGTAGAAAAATGCTGATGTTGTTTGTGGACATAGAACTGTACGATAACATTACTTTTTTTTTTTGGTGAAAAGTCATGTTCTTATCCATTTTCCTTGTGACTTCATTACTTGTGCAAACTGCTTTCGATCGCCACAATATTTTCACTTGAGAAAGAAAAGAGAAGATACTGAATAATTAGGTGCTGTGGTTCCCCTGGGATTGCCAACAAGAACAGATTGGCAAATCTTATGCAATAAAAGGTTTTTGGGTGCAACTCCATAGTTGATCTCAGGAGATCTTATCAGAACATTGTGTGCGAACAGAACAGTCACTTTCTGTATTTTTTTCAGCCGACATGTGGATATAGCAGAGCTGATGACTTTATTGTGGCTTTATTGTGACGGCACACTTTGATGCGTTTGGTAACCACATTTGCAGGCTTTTCTAACAAAGATTGTACTATTGCTTCAGGTGGTCTTAGTCTGAAGCAGAGCTGATTGAAGTTGTGCTCCATGTACTCGTGTCAGTACAAAAGTTTGGAGGTAGCTATTCGATATTTCTGGAGGAGAATGTGTGGTTATTCAATATTATAATCCAGATTTCAATTTCGTTTGTACTACTGCTGTCAAGGTAAAAAAAGAAATTCGATGTAAATGCCAAGGGAATTCTCATGGCAGCTTTATTCTCACTGACCTGGGCACCCTGAATTTTCTCCTGGTCTACTCTGTCCCCATTTGGCTTGAAGCATTTTCCTTCCACTTGTTCATGCATTGGAATCCAAGTATATAACAACATTATAATCTCATTTTGGAAAAAATGGGTTGTTAAAATCACTATTTCGGATGATTTCTTGGGGGTGGCATATTTGTTTCCTTCTGGCTGAATCTCTTCTTTTTATGCATTAGCAGAGCACCTGAAGCTGTGCTGTTCATCATGTAACACACCTTTTTCACTGCATCATCCATTGGTGTGTCAATAGCACAGATAAAGCAGCTAGCAAACAGATCCAAGGAGATATACCAGATGTCTGGAAAAGCACTATGATCTGAAGTTTGTGAAGTCATCCATCAGGTATGCACGCAGCAGGTTTTCTACCGTATGATTCAGTTTAGCCACTCATAGATGCGCGTGTTCACACGCAAAGATATACTCACTGTGTGTTATGTAAGAGACCCGCAAAGATATATTCACTGTGTGTTATGTAAGAGACACTTGTTTGATACCATGGTCCTTATCCACCTGCTGCTTCTCTTAGTTCGATGCTACAAAAGTCCATAGTTTTGCAATTCTGCAACACTTACTTGAGTATGATTCTCATTGGTTTGTTTCTGCCGTATCTGTTCGTCGATGATTTTTATTGGATATAGTTGTTGAGGTTCATCATGGTATGTGCTGATAGCTAGTATGCTCATAGTTTGTAAACTAAATAGCAACGCTTTTTTGATTAAGCTGAACCTACCAAATTGGAGGTAAAGAGGCATTTGGATAGAATCCAAACTGTATAGTTCAGAACTTCAAAATTTCAAATGCATGATTGCCAATTTTTGTCAATAGATTGATAAATCTTGGATGTGAGAGAACTGTTGGATGCTTGAAAGAATAATCGCAAGGCACAGAAGTCATATCATTGGGAGTGAATAAAGCTACGAAAGATACTGACTGGATAAAGCTATATATGAAAGATACTTTGGTAAGACAGTAAACTCTTCCTGATCGTTCTAACTGTCCAAGCTCAGAGATTGCAACATGGAAGAACATGTAACAGTTTTTAGCTATCAACTGATTTATTTTGGACGATCACTGTTCTCTTCTGGAGTTTGGGAGGGCAGAATATACAACCATGGATAGTGAAGAAGCAAGAATCATATACAATTTAATTTCCTTGGATGGTAAGGAAATATCTTCTACTTTTTGCAAAATTAATGATTTCTAATTATTGCTTATGGGGGATTCTGCAGCCTGCAGGTAGGATGTGGACTTATTGAGCAAGGTGACCAGCCATACTTGCCCTTTTCTACTGACTTAGACAGCCATGCCTTCTACTGACTTGACAACAATATATGTCCTTTTCCACACAAAAGATGTGCTCATATTCAGGCTATTTATAATAGATGAAAATATGTCAACAAGATTCCTACTTCAGATTGGCTCCTAGATAGGAACAAGAAAAGAGAGTAGTCATGGAATAAAGCTAGATGCTCTAGAGATATCCTTTTGTCCTATGCATGTAAGTCTACTCCTTTCGTCCCAATATAAATGCACTTAGGACCGGATATAGCATTTCATAGTACAACGAGATATTGGTTATACTATGAAATGCCACATCCGGTTCAGGTGTACTTATATTAGGACGGAGGGAGTACAAAAGAGAAATTACTGGCAAGAAAATTTGATTTTCAGGGTGATGGTATCCGCAGGTAAGTTTCACATGCAAATGAAAATGTAAATTGTCTGTTAACGAGTGATTGTGTTAGCATAAATGTTTTTCACATGCAAAACAAGACTATATGCAATTTTGCAGACTTGATATACTTATGCCTGGTATTCTAAGTTTTATATACAGAGTGTAAAGGTTAGACATATTAGCAATTTAATGGTTTTTGGAGATTGACATTGAGAATAAGCTTATGGTTGAAGAAGACAGGGTAGAAGCATGATTGTTCACACAATGATCAGAAACGGAGGCAAGCAAAGTTAACCCAAGAAAAAGGAAAAATCAGTATTAGCTTGTAAACATGGCTAGTTTGCCCCAACATTAGGATTGCCTCAGAACGATCCTCTATATATGCTCAAACATGGTATAATGTGTATTGAGGCTGTGTTCGCATGTGGATGATGGGAACATAGTGCCTCCGCACGGAAAACGGAGCGTTCCATTAGCACATGATTAATTAAGTATTAGCTAAATTTTTTTTAAAAAAATGGATTAATTTGATTTTTTAAGCAACTTTCATATAGAAACTTTTTGTAAAAAACGCACCGTTTAGCAGTTTGAAAAACGTGCGCGCAGAAAACAAGGAATTTGGGTTGGGAACCTAGAGTTCGTTATACTAGTCTTGAACTTGGTGATGCATGAAACTCAATATCGTATTTGATCGAGCAAGGTACCCATATGTAAAGGGTTTCTTCTACAATCCAACAGTCAGGTCCGATGCTAAATTAGGACTGTTAATAGAGCATAATCGGACGATAGAAATCGATCAGTACCTCTAGGAACTGTTCACTCCATTATGTGGTGGAAGGGTAAAACAATATTTTTGCATTAGAAATAAATCATCGTCTATCTTAGACGCTCTTTACGAACGAGGATTGAAAAGAAACCCTTATGGCCTCATCGTTTAGCATATTCATATGCTTATCAGCTAAATTTTGAATTTTTAACATTAAAGTTGGAGCTGATTTTGGGGTTTTTTCATCGAAGTTTATTTTTCAGCCTTTGCTTTTAGATCACCAAGAACACATATTGATTTTCGTTTGCAAATATGCCATTTGCATATTTAGAAAATATACCAAACGATGAGGCTGTTAGTTTTGCAATCTTGAATACCTTAGGGATAGGGTTTGGCGAAGGCATAAGGTTTGATGCTCCTGGAGTCCTCTTTAGCGGTGGTGGTGCAGGGGCTTGGTACTCCTGGAGCTCGGGGGAGGGGATCTACGGCGTAGCGAAGTCTGCGGTACGATGGAGAAATGGGGAAAGGGTTTCAGGACTTGCTTCTCGCCCGATCGTAGCCCTTGGATTCAACAACCATATCAAGCTTGCTACCTAGTGGTTACAAACTGCTGGACCGGAATAATGCTCATATATATAGAAATAAAGCTAAAAATACATTGATGTTTTGGCAAAGTGACCAACATGTCGGGATGCAATTAGTTATTCATCTTGCAAAATGTTTAAACGAGTCACTCATTTTTTTTAAGTAAAGTGACCAGCGATCCATAAACTTTTTTATATATGCTATGCTATTCAGATCCCCAAAATTTAAAAATATGCATCTTGGACATGCTGGTCCAAAATTTTGTTAATTAAAAATGTATCATCCCGGTCCAAAATTACCACGGCACATCCGGGACCGAGCGTTTCATGTCCACTAGCACGGTGCCCATCTTGGACATGCTCCCGAAACTAACATGATCAGCAACTCGTCCAGCAATTTACACAGCAATTTGCAAGATGTGTGACTAAATTACATCCCATATATAACAAACAAGTACAGAATCTCTCTAGCTAGCATTTGGTGTGTTTGTGTGTGTGTGTGTGGTTGTACTGGCTGATCATCGAGGTTTATCCGGCGTGGATGGCCGGCCGGGGTGGTTAATTAGGCAGACATGGACACGACCAAGCCGGGGACCAGGCGACTCCCCTGCGCCGCCCACCGCCTGCCTGCATGCACTGCCACACTCTGCCACTGCAGCAGACGACATGGACATTCAGCAGCAGCAGCAGCAGCAGCAGCCAGAGCCAGCGTAACGAACCTAGCTAGCTACTCTTACGCCTACCTATCTCATCATTCATGGCGCCGCTAGCCGCTAGCTGCTGCAGCTGCACCTGCAATCGCATCCATCCATCGCGTCGATCGATCGATCGCATTGTGCTGCGTGCCAATGGCAATGGCAATGGCATCGCCGTACTACGTTAGCATGGGCGCTACTACTACCGCTCTAGTACTACCTGTGCTTCTTTCTCACCTCTTCGTCCTCTCATGGCCATTCGATAGCTTGCTGCTGTTTCTGCTGCATCTGCAGAGAGTGCAGACTGCAGCAGCGGCAGCAGCAGCAGCAGCAGCAGCAGCGGCTAATGTCCTTGAGCTGATCTGATCGAACATAAAGCAATTAATACACTATGTATATGTGGGCATCAATGATCGAGCAGTAGTACGTGCGTATAGTACGCATGCACCTGCATACACCCACATGAATTCTTCTGTTCATCACACACAACAGTGTCAGTGCAATGCCAATGCCAATGCTAATGCAATGAACTCTCTCGATCTCCATCGACCGATCGATCGCTGCTTCTTGCACTGCATGATTGCATGTACATAGATATGATGCATCGATCGATCTCGATCGGTTGATCCGTCGTCGTGGCTCAGCTCGATCCCTCCCTCCTGCCATGGAAAAGAAAAGCTGCTTCTTGCATCACTTGAGCATACGTACTGCAGCTCTGCAGCTCACCAGCAGCAGCTGCAGCTGTGTGGCTATCCATCGATCAGATTCATGGCTATCTAGCTACCTCTCTCTCTCTCCCATATGGCATTGCCATGGCAAATGTACTGTAGCCTGCAGGGCCAATTGCAACGGTTCATTCATTGGTGGTGCAACTAGCTGGCTAACCTTCTGATCGATCCGTTCATTTAGGCGCAGCAGCTAGCTAGCATACATGTGTTCTGAATCTCTCTGACGACGACGGACCACGCCTAGCTGCTTCCTTGTTTTCATCATGTGGGCTTTAGGCTGTGTTTAGTTCAGTGCAAAGTTTAGATTTTGGTTGAAATTGAAGATGATATGACTGAAAAGTTATGTGTATATGACAGGTTGATGTGATGAAAAAGGACTGAAGTTTAGATCCAAACTAAGCCTAATTTACTTCGTTGTAGTATTCTGAATCGTTTACTAGCATTCACTGCCGCCGGCCATTGGTTACATTGGTGTATATATATGCAGTTTTTCAGTCTTTCAGAGCCTCTGCATGCATAAGCTCATCATACACGCACTTTCACTAGGTACACTTGTGTAAACATCTGCAGAGGCATTGTTCATGATGGTTACGTTCATCATATTAATATCATCGATCGATTATTGGTTTACGCACTACGTGAATCGTACTGTTGGGGAAGAACCACTGGTGTGGTGGTAGAGTTATAGCGCATAACTCTATATACGCATTATGTACGGTTCAAACCATGATGCCCACAAATATGATTGTGTGCATTCTTATTGGTGCAGAGGCCGGAAGTAATACTTACATTACCTGAAAGAAAAAAAAAAACACTACTACATGCATGCAGTGCAGCTGTATTGCAGGTAGATAGCCACCTCTCATGTGCTGGACATGTGATGGGTGTATGGTGCATGGATAGAGCTAAGGGATGAGTAGTACTGTCAGCACAGTGCCACCAGCAATTAGGGTACTGGAAGGAGAGGAAGGGAGATGAGAGAGCTTGTGCCATTTGGCCCCTAGCTAGCTAGGGAGAGGTAAGGGTAGCCCCATGCAGGCATCATCTCCATCCATTCATTCCATCTCTCTCAAATAATTTCCTTGCTTTCATTCTTCAGTGCTGCTGCCCTCTCTTCAGCCAGTAGTGAGTAATGGCAGTAGTAGCACACACACACTAGTACCTCTGGGACTATTGTGTGTGTCTGTGCTAGCAGCCTCTCATCTCTCTCTCTCTCTCTCTCTCATGGTCTCTTTTATTTGTTCTTGGGATCTTGGTCTGCACAAGCTTGGCATTTGGGCAGCTGCAACATTGCCTTTTTGGTAGTGACCACCAGATTTTTCTAGTAGAGGTGCTGGTGTCCTGCATGCTCTCCTCTGGGCTCTCTCTCTGATGATACTGATCATATCTCCCACTGATGATAGCTGATGATGGATGGGGGCAGTGCTTCAGTTAAGATTCTTGTGCCATCACTGCAACTGTGCATGCTAATGCTGTGCTTCTTCAGTACTACACTACTCTGCATAAGTTAACAGCCACTAGTCCAGCTACCACTATACTATATCTACTATCCCCAATTTAATTAGATAACAGCAGCTAGTACTACCACTATATATGCACATTTTTTTAGATATAATACTATGCAAAGACAGTATTACTATTTATCTTTTGTGGCAACAACAATTCCGTGCATTGGAAATCTGAACACACATACACAAGAACCTAGTTAAGCAAAGTTAGTTACTCTAGCTATCTGACTGTCGTTTTCATGCTACTGTCTATCTTATGATAATTTTTTAGATAATACTATGCAAATACAGTGTTGCTACTTTAAAATCTTTTGTGGCAACAACAAATCCTCCACGCATTGGAAATCTGAACACACACAAAACCTAGTTAAACAAAGTTAGTTAATCTAGCTATTTGACTGTTGTCATGCTACTGCCTGTCTTATGATTATGTTTTAGATAATACTATGCGAATACAGTATTGCTACTTATCTTTTGTATGCATTGAAAATCTGAACACACATACACAAGAAACTAGTTAAGCAAAGTTAGTCAAGCTATATATCTGACTGTTCTCCATGCTGCTACTGTCTGTCTTTATGATCATCTTTTAGATAATACTATGCAAATACAGTATTGCTACTTATCTTTTGTAGCAACAACAATTCCATGCAATGGAAATCGGAACACAAACAAGTAATCTAGTTAATTAAGCAAAGTTAGTTACTCTATCATCTACTATCTGTTTTCCATGACACTGTCTGTCTTATGATCATTTGTAATATATATATACTTTATAGTACTACTGAAATAAGGTGCAATCAGCCAAGCAGAGGATGCTTAGGTTAACGGGCCGGATTAGCTGTC